ATTAATTAGGACGCGAGGCCGTCGGAAAAAAGGGAGCAGAGACAAAACAGCTGGTTAGCCCTCTGCTAGTGCTTCATCTTTCTGTCATGGAGCAAAGCGAGCGGATGAAGACGGAGTAATTTAATTAGAAGCGGACAGCCATTATCGATGGATGACTGCGACGACTAGAGACATCAAACAACTTTGCCAGTTGACAGAGAGTGAAAAGCAATGCCTGGCATGGGGGGGGGGATCTGGTTAATTGTGCAGAAAGTCAGAGCACAGTTGTACTGCAGTACTGTGACACTCTTTGTTTGATATGAGGGATACGCTGAAAAGTTATAAAACACTTTGAGAAGTAGGCATCAGACCGGGAATGTGAGTGATGTTAGGGAATAATTCTCCTGGACTCCTAGATATCTAACCGTTTTGCCCTTTGACATTTATGACCAACCCTGACGTCTGTTATCTCCCTTAAGGAAAGGGGCTGCTTCAGCCATATGTTGTTGGTCCCATTTTATGACCGGACAACTCTCGGTCACGAATGGTTTATTGTTGTGAGAAAGCTGGAACACTTCCTTCTCGGTGTTTGTGGACTCCAAGGTGTGTAATGTTGAGGCCATAAGTGTCAGACGCAAGTAATTCAGTGTTCCCAGCTGTTTAGGCTATCAGGCTTCAGAATTGACGTGGCAACTCTACCGCAAAGTCAGAACCTCTGGCTCTTGTGACTTGTGATGTGAATTCTCCGGCCGAAACTCGTAATAAACCATCAGTGTTTGCCATCAAAGCTCCAGCTCGCCCCGTGTCTCCTTCCTGAGTCGGTGCTACACAGAAGTTCCTCCCACAAGTGAGGAAAAAAAAAATAGATAATGAGTTCTGAGAAGAAAGACAAGGGAACAGGCCGAGAAAATTGAGTGTGGGATTGACAATGTTACTGTCGAAAACAGAAAGTGTGTGGTGGGAAATTGAGATGGAGAGGAAGAAAGGGGAGGCAAGATGCGATGGAGGGCAGAGAGGGAGCAGACAGAGCCGAGGACAGAGGATAAAGAGAGAGGAAAGAAAATGGGATGGCCAAGTGTTAATGATGAGCGGCCAAATCTCATTCCTGGCCATGTCTGCAATGTGCAACGACGTGGGCATACATGCCATATGCAGGCACACTTGGCAGTAGGTATATTCACACGCACACACACACACACACGCACACACACACACAATCTGTACACCTTCCTCTCTCACTTTCTTCAAAGACAAAAGGTGTTTATTATTTATTTTCTGTGTGCTAAATATGTGTGCTTAATATTGAAATTGTGTTCTGTGTTCCATTTTAAACACGGTGATCATATGTGGTTAGGGGAACGTGAGATCTGAAGATCCTTCTTTTCATCTTTCCTTATGTTTCTTCTCATTCTTCCTCCCCTGTGCAAATGGACCATGGCTGCAAGTGGGCCACCTTTCTCTGTCTGACACTCCTGATGTGCAGGGTCTCATACATGAAGCAGCACTAACCGCACAGACAGTGAAGAGGTGGGAGCATTTGAGAGAGTAGATGAAAGTAGTGATTGTGTCAGAGAATCATGGGAGAAAAAGCGGGGGCCATGGTGTCCAGGAAGATTGATTTAATAGAAGTTGAGTGGAGAGAAGGTGAGGAAAGAGGTCTCAGGTGGATGGAGGAGGCGGGTGTGAAACAGTGGTGAGGGTAAAGAATGGCAGGAATGAGGTAAACAGATGGAGAAAGGGAGGCTTTATCAATCTCTTGAGTCTTCAAACTCCAGAGGCAGTAATTGCCTGATTTATCCTAGCGTTATAATAATATAGCTAATTTAATAATACATCACAGCTACTGACAATACAACTGAGCCAATCTTAAATAAGATGCCATAATGTAAGCTTACACACAACATAACAGCTTGTGAGTGGATGTGATTCCCGAACAATGACAAAAAGCATCAAGGAATATGATAATGAGTATGTTAGTAAATAATGTGTTTGGATATCAGGAAAGCATTTAGTGAGCACCCTCATCCAAATACACACATAAACAAAGCTTATTCCCGGTGAGGCATTTATACAAAAATGCACAACAATACACACTCTTAAAGCATACACAATTTCTAATATCAACACTCCCACATACACATTGTGTGTGTGTGTGTGTGTGTGTGACAGCAGGACCCGATGACAGGCTGGCAGACTCTGCCTGCAGGAAAATCATTATGGCATTGTTTTACCACACTCTCTTTCATGCACACACACATACACTAAAAATGAAATGAACATACAGAAGCACACACCGGACACACACATGCCTAAAGCCTAAAACCTAATAGCTGTCAACATTCACAACACAAGCTTAATATGAGTGGTATGTCCCATTGATTATGTGCCTCCCCTGTTTGATAGCTATGGGAGATTGGAGCAGATTGGCTTATCAGCACACGCTCCTGCCGCTGAGGCACATTTGGCTGCCTAATGCAGCTGCCTGAAGGACCCCTTCTTAGGGTATGAGTGGGTGTTTCTCAATGTCGAGGACGCTTCCTTGGTAGGACATGTCCCTCCGAGTCAGGTCCTTCAGAAGCGAGGCAAGAATCCTTCCTAGCCTCGGAAAACAAAGAATGGTGGAACAGGCTAACAGGTTTGCAGGTGTGCGTCATATGCGAGGCGATACACTTGTGTAGCCTCGAAATTTCCAGCAACGAAGGAGGCCAGCCTCGGGAGAATTCCAAGCATCCTGGACATTGGAACAGTCCTTCGGCGGGACTCAATGACGTAGTATGCTTGAAATAGTGGCTCTGGAGCAGCTTTACTCGACATTGAGAAACACCCAGTGTGTGAGCATGAGTTTGTGAAAATGAGTAGGGGAATTGGAGCAGACCCCTGCTGGTGCATGCTTGTTTGTATTAATACATGTGCGAGTGTGGGGAACAATTCTCCAGTCGGAAAGTCATTCTACCACTGCAGAAGAAGAGGCCGAAAAGAGTTATAAACTCAATTTCTGTTACGTTGATATACTAATGTGAGGAAGGTTGCATCAGATTTTCGAAAGGCAAAGACAAGTGTTCTCCTTTCTTTCTTGTAATGTCTCTTTAATGGAGCAGACACTTCAGTATATGTTTAAGTCACGTGATTCATTTGCCTCATCTTTATTGGTTACCTTTGCCATCAACTTTTTTATGCAATAATTAATTATTTTTCTGCATTTTCTACAAATCAACTCAGATGGACCGAAATGCACTTTCGGTCCAACTACACACCAATCTCCAATCCAGGAGACGTGAGGCGACGCGTCCCCACGGTGTTCTTTGGTGTCAGTTTGGTGTGTAAGAGGCTTTATGCCTCTTTGGTATTGATGAGAAATAACAACACTGATTCAAATGTTGAGCGGCGTCTTCCTTCACAGCAGATATAATGAGATTTAAGACAAGAGAATGTGATTTGAAGACGCATTTCTAATCCTCGTGGAGAAGTTTCTCTCCGTAAGTAACCTCATCGTGCCTTCCTACAGAACTTTTCTCATTTCATATTCCTCCCCTGTCATATGCTGTATGCTAAAGAGGAGATGACCTCATCATCCGAACACAGTGTCATTCTCCAGAGGACAATGAGACAGAGAGGATGACACTTTTTATCCTTTTCCCTCATTTCCCCCTGCTGCTCTGACACTTGACTCAGTATCCATTCTGGTACACTAATGTCAACATCTGATAGAGTTTATCACAGTGGTAGTCGTGACTGTCACGTAATGGCCTTTGGCTCTCTGAAATGTGGAGATGAGAAAGGGGAGAAAAATAGGTCTCACTAGGACATGTTTGGCTCCTAATTACGAGCGGAAAATGACAGTTAGAGAATGAGAGCGAGAGATTTCCTTTTTTGGCAGAAAGATTATTCACTGGAGAAACAGTGAAATGTCTATGGATATTTTAGATTTTAGATTAGATTAACGCTCTGTCTGAAACCAGAGCCCATTCTGGTCTGATTGGTTAGCTGGCCGGCTCTGTTTTGATTGGTCAACCGCATAGAGATGTCCCGCCCCCTAGCCTATCACCAACAATGTGTTTGAGCACTAGCCAATTGAAGCATGGGTGTTAAAGTAGGGAACCTTTGGATTTGTTTGCCTTAGCAGACCCATGACATGCAAACAAACATATGTAAGGAAAATCAGTGCCCCTATAACAGTTTTATTTTATTCATAAGAAAGGTCAATAAGATGCTATAGTAGTGACTCAGTTAGACCTTGTGTATGTGCTTAGACAACTGTATGTATGTGTTACTGTAGCACTTCTGTTCAATAGCATTCAACATTGCATGTTTCCCAGGTCCTCCTTCATTGAGGAGAGTAAATACAAAAGCAAGTGGGGAGATAATTCTCAAGCTGTATATTTGCTGCTCATTGACAAGTTGCTCTACTTTCTTCTTGTTGGTAGGTGTAATTATTAAAGGAGGAGCAGTCCTGTCCTCTCAGCAATAATTATACTGGTTTGATTAAACACACCATATTACTTTGCGTTTATTTGCCAGCTCTGAGCGCTGTTGCCTCAGCTGTGGTGTGACTATATTAGATGGGAAAGTATGAATTATGAATTATATAAACATAGAAGGATGTAATTGTGTGGTCCTATCTCTCTTTGCTGTGGACTGATGTGGAAATGAGCTCCAGTCTGACTCACGGAGATAATGACGTGAGCTGAGAGAGGGAGGGAGGCATGAAGAGAAGTTTAGGGAAATAGAGAGCATGGAGAAAGAGAGGAGGAGGAGGAGGAGGAGGAGGAGAGCAGCTGTGCAGCACTACGAAGCATGTCACTAACACGGCTCGGACATTTACCTCTCAGTGTGTCATCTGTAAAAATCATTCTTAAGGATGCATGTACATGTACTTGAATTAGATATTTCGTCTGTCCACAGTATGTGAGTAAATGCATCCCTTCTACGAACATCCCTTCTGTGTGTGTGTGTGTGTGTGTGTGTGTGTGTGTGTGTGTGTGTGTGTGTGTGTGTGTGTGTGTGTGTGTGTGTGTGTGTACCTCCTCTCCTGTTGAGCTTGGCATATCCAGGGGCATATCCGTTGGAGAAGACAGACGAGCTGGTGAAGGCTGTGTGAGGCAGGGGGGCGGCGAGGGCCTCGTCACACTTATCTGGGGAGAGAGGAATAGTAAGAATCAGGAGAGAGGGAAATATAAAGAAGGAGGGAAGGGAAAGAGAAAATAGTGAAGATTAGTATATTAAAAGAATATGCATCAATGCTGAACAGACACTTATAAGTCCATGAAGTGGATTAAGTAGTTTGAAATTATAACATTGTTCATTGAATGTTAAATAAAGGATTTCTAGGATCTCCTTAACTGAAGTACTCTCAGCTAGAAAAGTATTTTATTCTCCACATGGTTTCACTAAGGGCATTGTCGAACCGTCTCACAAGAGCAGAACCACATGAGAAGCTGAGGGAAATGTGTGTGGGTCAAGAACTAAGTCAGGTCAGAGAGCGAACCACTGGGGCATTGGAAACACTGTTGACTTCACCGGCTATCTCCAGAGTGTGCTGCAACATATCCATAACAAGCTAGCTGGCCTTGTAACCAGATGCATAATTGATTTAGAAAGAGAAAGAGAAAAAGGAAACAGAGGTGTTAAATAAGTGAAGCCCAGTCCCTGGAGCCAGTTTCTGCACCGATTTAACAACCAAGGCTCTGATCTCTCCTATTATGTCATAGTTATGCAGCCATAAATATGTAGAAGACACAGATTTATATAACCAGGTGACTATGGTCCCATACAGACAATGAGTGAATGCATCAAAGGAATCCATGATGGGATGTGCCAACATTTTACCGGGTAAACTGGAGACCATAGTGATTAGAGAACCCCTGCCGCGACACAAAATTGGGCCAGTGGCGTGAGGTGGTGGGGGGGGCGAATGGCTCCATGCCAACTTTTATAACCTCTATTTCCGTCCCCACCTCTTTGAACCACGGACAACACAGATATTGTACACATTGACCTCAATGTCAACCCAAAAAACAACTAGTTATTCCTGACATACTGTACACAAACAGAGTCATAAGGTTATTTTGTTTTAAACATTTCGATTCACCCCTCACTCATCCGCACAAACATACTCTCCTGGGACTTATAGTTTCACACAGAGAGAAACTGTGAATGGTGTGTCTGGCCAGGTAGAGGAAGTCAATAGCTCTCTGCCATGCCCCACTGTGTGTGTGTGTGTGTGTGTGTGTGTGTGTGTGTGTGTGTGTGTGTGTGTGTGTGTGTGTGTGTGTGTGTGTGTGTGTGTGTGAAATATGCCAGGTTATATTCACACCGTTGCAAGTGCTCCTTGCAGGCAGGGACATCTGCTTCTTAAGGGATAAGGCAGCCTGGCTCTCTTCTCTATTATAAATCCAATGCAAGTGTTACGGTGAGTGAAGCAAGCAGGACCCAAATGCAGATAACGCTGAAAAAAGCCTTTATTTCAAGGATAAAATAACTTGGAAAAAACAGAGCTCTCACCGGTGAACTCATTCACAAACAAAAGACGAACCAACACTGAACACAGGACGAGACAAGACTAAATACAGGGAGGGGTAATCACAAGACGAGAAACAGCCGGGCAGGAGAAACACAAGGGCCACAGGTGAACACAATCAGACAATTAGACACACCAGGGAAACTAACGACAGGAGGAAAAACACAGGGAAAAGGACCAGACAATATACAAGGAGGAAAACAAGACAGGGAGAACAGCAAAACACCCAAAACAAGACATACAAAACGTAACATAACACACTAATCCTGACAGCAAGGTGGTGAAGAGCTTTTAAAAGGACTTAAATGTGCTGATATCATTGGATGTGACTCATGGTGGCACACCTAGTGATGAGTTCCGGCTAATCTCCTTTTGAACCACATGTTGTCAGGCAGCAGCATCTGGTCATGAGATTGAGAGAAATGGTCGAGTCATGCTTAAGTTCTTCAAAAATTACTTTTGCACCTTAAATTCATGGAGATACGAGCCTCTTTCTCCCACTTAGACACACGTTAGGGGTCTCTCACACACATGTGCACTCACAGGTCACCTTCCTACACTGATCCACAGAGACTCTGAAATGGATACAATCATATACAGGCTGCCTCTTATTCATTCACAGACACAATGCCTTTCCTGCAGTTTCTGTCTCAAGAGTATATAGGTTTTTCAGCAATGACTTCCTCCAGCTGCACATGGAGATGCACACTCACGCAAAGACATTGAATAGCATATAAGTGCAGGGAGAAAAGGAATGAATGGCATTGGAGAGTGGAGTTGATGTATGGAGAAAGTGGATTTTAAAGGGAATGGAGGTGTTGAAGTGTGGAGAAAAATATATTTCTGTATTTCTGCAGTTATTTCCCTCGGAGCCCTCTTAACTCTCTGATGGTGCGAAATCACTACGTTAAAGAATTGTAGTGATCAGATCAAACAATGAAACCTGTAATCAACAGGCTAATGCACGATTAAAGTACAAAGCATGTTGAAATAGCATATCACGGCTGGATTATGTTAAAACATGCTCAGGTGTTTTGAAACACCTCTTGAAGCTGAAGTCCCATTCATCGGTAATTGTGTTAATGAAAACCCCTCCTGTGGCAGTTAGCATTTCTCTGGTTTTGTTTACAAAGTGACTGATTAGATATAAATATGTGTTGCCCTCATGCAGCTTGAATTGATTTTACTGCCACATGTGCATTAAGTAGTCAAAACAATGACATCTGCAGACATGTTTGGACAGTTTAATAAGGTTAGTTTAGCTCCATGCATCTCTTTGTGTGCACATTATTATTATTTCGACATGCTGCTGCTACTGGTCTCCTCCTGTTCTAGATTCCTAATAATATACGTTGTACAGTATATGTTCAGTATTTAAAGTATACATCTGATGGCTTTTGTTTCGCACAATATACAGCAAGAGCAATATATTTTGACTTCCAGTTCTGTCCTCAATGTGCTGCTTGGATTAGTGTGCGGACCAATTGCAATTCTTATTTGGGTTTAGACTCAATTCAATTGCAAAGTACATTAAATGAATGCTTTCTATATCAAAGTACTGCAGAACTAAGTTTGTAGATAGAATCCAGTTATATAATAGTTTGATTGACATTTATTTTCATTGATTTACTTTGATGTACGAGAGCCAATTAAACTTCTACTTTCACATTACACAAAGACGAGGTCAGGATCTCAGTAATTAATAATAATAATAATAATAATTCCTTACATTTATTATAGCGCTTTTCCAGATGCTCAAAGCGCTTTACAAATACACATTACACATATTTTTTTTTTATACATGCAATGGTCACTGTGGACAATACCCACAGGAGCAAGTTCAGGTGAAGTGTCTTGCCCAAGGACACAATTGTCATACAATTAAACTAAATTGCTTTAGAATATCTGCAAATGGCTGCTTTAGTACTGTACCACAATGTAATTATAGTATGCATACAGAATCCAATGCAATTGAAAATAGCAAGAACAAATTAAATTCAAACTGTTAAGATCCATGATGATGAGAGTTAATACGAACCTCTACAGTATATATGCGTTCATCATAATAATAATAATATATACATTTTATATAGCGCTTTTCTGGACCCAAAGACGCTTTACATTTGGGAGGGGGGGTATACAAACAAAACAAAAAACAGAGACAAAGCCAAAATGAAACAAAACACAACAGAAAAGCAGTCAGGAGGAAGTTGATTAAGAGGGGGGGGGCTTATAGATAAAGAGTTGAAGAGGTGGGTTTTGAGGCGGGACTGGAACAGGGTGAGGGACTCAGACTCACGGAGGTCTTGGGGGAGTGAGTTCCAGAGCTTCGGGGCTGCCACAGAGAAGGCTCTGTCCCCGAAGCTCCGGAGTTTGGCCTTGGGGATTGAAAGCAAACCGGCTGAGGTGGATCTGAGGGACCGGGGGTGGTTGGTAGAGGGTGAGGAGGTCAGTGAGGTAGGGGGGGGGCCAGATGGTGGAGGGCTTTATAAGTGAGGAGCAGGAGTTTGTAATTGATGCGGTGTGTAACGGGGAGCCAGTGGAGTTCTTTGAGGACCGGGGTGATGTGATGCCATGATTTGGTGTGGGTGAGGAGTCTGGCGGCTGCGTTCTGGACACGCTGGAGTCTACTGAGGGAGGTGGAGCTGATGCCGTAGAGGAGGGAGTTGCAATAATCAAGGCGGGAGGAGATGAAGGCGTGAATGAGGCGCTCAGCTGCAGGGCGGGTGAGAGAGGGACGGAGTTTGGCAATATTGCGGAGGTGGAAAAATGAGATTTTGACAACATGACGGATGTGGGGCTCGAGGGAGAGGGTGGGGTCAAATATCACGCCAAGGTTGCGTGCCTGGGTGGAGGGGGAAACAGGGGTGCCATCAATGGTGATTGTCAGGTTGGGGGTTTTGCTGAGGGTGGATTTTGATCCGATGAGGAGGAGTTCAGTTTTATTGCTGTTGAGTTTGAGGAAGTTGTGTTGCATCCAGGATTTTAATGCAGTCAGACAGGATTCGATTCAGGATCATGGCACAAAAGTGTATACATTAAGTAGTGAAGAAAGAATCGACTGCACACCTACACAAATGCAGCAAACTTGCCCTCATGCCACGTTACAAGCACCAGATGTGTGGAAGAAAGGAACACAGTAATGAATGCAGAGCGCACGGTGATATGCTGGGAACACAGTTGCTGATATTTGCACATGTCTGAAGAGCAAAGAATTGATCCGTACGTCCATGTGGGCAAGCAAATGACTACAATATCCATGTGCAAATGTCAGGCTATTCCCCCGAGGGTACGAGACAGATAGTTTTAAGCATGACGGTGTGATAAGAGAGGATAAACAGGAGCATTGAAGGGGAGAGAGATGAGATGGAAAAAAGAGACAGGAGGTGAAGGCAAAGGAAAATGGCTGCCTACCAAAACCTCCTTAGTGACATTTCCAGCGAGGTAAATAACTAGGAAATGGAAAAATAGCTACCAGGAGATGTGTCAGCCGGCTGTCACCATGTGGGAGCAGAGCCACGGAGAGACAGGGTTTGGCCAGCGTGTTCAAAAGGCTTTACATCACTGCCACATCTCTCAGGCTAAAGGGAGTTGGATATGAATACAGCATAACAC